GGGCCAGACAGGGCGCCCCCGCATCCGGGTCTCCCCCACATCAGGGGGCCAGACAGGTCCCCCCTGCATCCGGGTCTCCCCCGCATCAGGGGGCCAGACAGGTCTTCCCCTGCATCCGGGTCTCCCCCGCATCAGGGGGGGTCAGACAGGTCCCCCCTGCATCCGGGTCTCCCCCGCATCAGGGGGCCAGACATGTCTTCCCCTGCATCCGGGTCTTCCCCCGCATCAGGGGGTCAGACAGGTCCCCCCCCGCATCAGGGGGTCAGACAGGTCTCCCCCCGCATCAGGAGACAAGACGGGTCTACCCCCCGCATCAGGGTCTCCCCAGCATTCGTGGGCAAGACAGGTCTCCCCAGCATCCGGCGGCTCAGACAGGTCTCCCCGCTTAATATTTCTGATTACAAGGGGCGCGGGACTCCATTCTGACGACAGCAGGCTCCACCCATCTCTGTCCCGTCTGGTATCCCTGAGCAGATCTTCCTGCATCCAGGTTTCGCCCAGCTAGAATGTGAAGCCCTGACGAAGGAGGAAGTTCCACACCTCGAAACACATCGGCACCTCCAGCAGAACATTTGCATTTGACAAGAAGGACTGCTGAGAACTTTCCGTGTCCTTTTCTCTGACTTGAGCGCCCCCCCCCCACAACCAGACAGAACCCAACCTATGGAAGGCAGAAGACCTAAAGGAATCATGAGATTCCTGGAGGACTATTAGACGGATTGCATGCGTTTAATAGTCCTCCAGCCTAAAATGATGGACAGCAGGCCTCTACAAAGCCGGTTATCCCATACGGGGATGTTTACTGCCAGCGGGCTAAGCGGCCTTTCCCACATCGGTAACTGGGTTTTCCAGGCTGCTGGCCCTTTAAGAAGGAAAGCAAGCACCAATGGCGCTCTATATAAAAGAAGTCCTCGGGTGAACAGACTGCCGGCCGGGCCTCGGGAAAGCCGCTCCATCCAACAAGGACAGGATGTGCCACCAAGTCCACTGCCGTCCGGACGATTGGCACGGCTCGCCGCTCTTTCTGTCAGCGTCTCTGCCCAGAATAATCCAGTGATGTAACCGCGCTCGGTGCCAGCTTGGCGCCCGTTCAGCTGCCGGAGTTCAGGAAGTCATGGCGGGGTCTAGTCAAGTCTCTGTTGTTGTTTTTGGGAGGAGGAGGCAAGGAGAAGGGCAATGATGTGGCAGATGAAAGGGTTAAGCAACCCCCGGCACACCAGCTGTGGTGAAACTACAAATCACATCATGTGTCTGTTAGCGGTCAGTAAGCAATGCATCATGGGACTTGTAGTTCCACAACCGCTGGAGTGCCGGGGGTTGCCTAAACTTTTCTTGCTTAGTGAGGGGGCCGTTCAGCAGCTTACAGCCTGCATCTCCTTCTTTTCCAAGGGCGGGTACGGGGTCTTGGCCCTCATCATAGACCAGCCACACCATTCAGCAGCTTACAGCCTGCAGCTCCTTCTTTTCCAAGGGCTGGTATGGGGTCTGGGCCCTCATCATGGACCAGCTGCACCATTCAGCAGCTTACAGCCTGCAGCTCCTTCTTTTCCAAGGGCTGGTATGGGGTCTGGGCCCTCATCATAGACCAGCCGCACCATTCAACAGCTTACAGCCTGCAGCTCCTTCTTTTCCAAGGGCTGGTATGGGGTCTGGGCCCTCATCATGGACTAGCTGATGCTTTACATCGTGCCTACAATGACACAGCCATTAGTCACCAAATGTTTTGTTTAAAATGAACCTGTCACGATAGACATTCAGAAGCTGGCACGGAAAGTTGAAGCGCTGCAGCAGCAGCCGAGTGACGGTGCGAGCAGCAGGCCATAGGGAGCAGTCCAGGTCCGGCTCTACGTTCTGCTCGGGGCACCTGGAAGAGAACTGGTTGAACTTTTCCACTGGTGTGGGTCAGTCAGAGTCACCCCACCCACCTTCCCCTGCGGGAGAATTTCCCTGGAGTTCCCATAACTCCCGTTACACACTCCGCCGATCACACACACGCCAAGTTTAAAGGGAACCTGTCCTCCGCCGATCACACACGGCAAGTTTAAAGGGAACCTGTCCTCCGCCGATCACACACGGCAAGTTTAAAGGGAACCTGTCCTCCGCCGATCACACACGGCAAGTTTAAAGGGAACCTGTCCTCCACCGATCACACACAGGCCGTGTTTAAAGGGAACCTGTCCTCTCTA